AATAAATCTTTCGGGAATTTGTAATGGAATAAATTCTTTCTTTATTAATTCAAATTAGAAGACAAAAAGGAACAATAGAATAATAATAATAATAAATAATCAAAAAAGTGGATTATTATACATCTATTTCATTTATAAAGATGAATAAGTCCATTTATTTAGTTCTACATTTCTTGTACCTATTAGATATATATATATTCACTTAGATATACTTATATATAATATACAAATTCGAATTATTATAAGATAGATATCTTTAGAATTAAGAATATAACAATAACAGGTACAAATATGAAATTGAGGTATCCATTCTATGACAAACTTACCCTCTATTTTGTGCCTTTAGTGGGCTTAGTATTTCAGGCAATTGCAATGGCTTCTTTATCTCTTCATGTCCAAAAAAATAAGATTGTTTAGATCTGATGAGACAAAATCTCATCTATTTTTTTTTTCATTTTCAAGAGTTAGACAACATAGATATCTATTTAGTAGAATATTGTATAACATGTAGATTACTCCGAATATAAATGAAAAAAGCCTCTTATGCATGCGTAAACATGATATATGGGTAAATAGTTATTTTCAAAAATAGATCGCAATTGGGCGGATGTATGAAATTAAAGTCAATGTATCTATATGTCTATATATATCTATAGTGGATATATGAAAGGGATGTAAGATCTAACTAATTCTATGAATTACCCCTAAAGGTTCACATCAAAATAGTGCTAGTTGATGAGAGTTACTTCGGGAACAAAAAAAAGTAAAGTAAACTTTTGATTATGCTCTCAATTCCAATAAAATACAACTGGATCTAATATGCATGAGTTGGTGATCAGAATCTATATGGATAGAATTTATAGCTGGGTCTCGAAAAACAAGTAATTTCTGCAGGGCCTTTATCCTTTTTTTAGGTTCATTAGGATTCTTATTGGTTGGAACTTCCAGTTATCTTGGTAGGAGTTTGATATCTTTATTTTCATCTCAGCAAATAGTTTTTTTTTTCCACAAGGGATTGTGATGTCTTTCTATAAGATCGCGGGTCTCTTTATTAGTTCCTATTTGTGGTCCACAATTTTGTGGAATGTAGGTAGTGGTTATGATCGATTCGATAAAAAAAAAGGAATAGTGTCTATTTTTCGTTGGGGATTTCCTGAAAAAAATCGTCGCATCTTTTTACGACTCTTTATGAAAGATATTCAGTCCATT